AAATGCCAATGACTTAATGTGTGAGGTGGTAAAACAGTAGCATTTTGTTTAGCATTGTATGTAAGCATAGAAATGATAATAAAACACATCATGAGCTTGATATCAATTACTCACCTAATTTCATTTTTACAGAATTAAAGAACTATTTTACCTGGATCTAATAATCCAGATCTGTCTGGTCCTGGTTCAGATTTATCAGCTGCACTTTTCTTTGTTTCAGAGTGAGAGACTGGTTCATCATACTGTACTTCTAGGAAATGGAAATTAATTAATTGTAAAACATAAGATTGAATGCAAAAGCTCTCTGTTTAGTGATGAAGGTAAATTAAGTTACTATGTATTTTTATAGCATAACAAACATATTTTAATTGTTTTAGATTAATGAATAAAGTTAGTTTTAGCTGTTTTTAACCTGAAAATGATTAAAAGTCTTAGTTGCACCAATCAGCAAAAATACACAGAACTGGTGTGGCAGCAAATTGAGATGAATGTGAGGAAAAGTATTATAGAAGCATTTATGAAAAACTTCATATTATTTTAAGGCAATATTAGCTGATATCTGAACAATACATTTGCTCAGCAGTTTGTGTTAGGTCTGCTAACGGCTTGAACCTACCTGTATCAATGCCCCAATTGTGAGAAGCATGTTTGGAAAGAAAAAGGAAACAATAATGACAAATTATGATAAATATAATTCTGATAATATTGTCTTATTGGGAAGTGCAAAGAAGTGACAATATGAAAATATGTTCACAGGAAAGTGAACCTGCGAGGTGCCTAATAGTTTACAAACCTGAAGTGTACATTTTGTGTGATCTATCCAGATGCAGCCTCTGATCAATTTCTTCATATACAGCTTCATATGCATTAGACAAACCTGTAGATGGAATTATTCAGAACACCAGTAATTAATATCTCTTAGTAATGTTGTTTATTTGAGTAAAGAACTGAAGTCAAACTAGTTTTTACATTAATCATTGTTCAAGAATTTTTTTGTCACGCTAATATTTCTGTTCCTTTTGTGTATTAAAGATTATACAATTGAATATTAATATTGAATAGTATCTAGAAAAACATCTCCCACTATTTTAAAAGGCAAAACATCCCTGTTTTAAAATAGATCTAAAGTACTTATTGAAATCTAGCAGGTGACAGCAGTGGGAAATATCAGCCTACCTTTATGTTTTCTGTATTTATTTCTTTTAATAAAAAAAGCAGTTGACACTGCACATAAAGGCACGCCCAGCATCAAACAAGTGAAAGTCAAACCCAGAATCCAGTTTCCTGTCTTTACACCTGAAAACAAAATGATTCATTTTAAGACTAAACCAAAAATCTTGAAATATTCTTGTGTGAAAAAAAAGCTTTCAGACAAGGCTGTTCCATTACATGAAGGATAATCACCACTGGAATATTGGCTTTTCTCTCATTTTAATCAACAGAACATCATCACATTGTTTTTTCTATCCATCAATTTCTAACCCTTTGAACAATTCAGGGTCACAGGGGAGATAGAGCATATCCTGGCCAGCAATGGGTGTGTATTGTATATACGGTACATTAGAAGAATTGTTATTTAAAGTTATTCATTTTTTATTCCAAAGTCACTTTAACAAATACAGGGTCACAAAGAAGCCAGAGCCTGTCCCAGTAAGCAAATGAAGCATGGATTGGACTGTGAGAGAGCACTGTAACACCTGGAACAATCTTTTTTTACAGGCATTATATTTTCTCTGACACCATATTTTAAAACAGACAGGACTATCCATCCATGCATTATATTCCAGTTATATCAGTCCAATCAATATACTGTAGAAAACATGAAGAAGTGCATTAAGTTAGTACCTTGAAGAAGATTTCGAGTTTTGCTTTGTTTTTGGTGGTTTAGTTTCCTGCACTATAAAAAACAAAACCCTTTGTTTTGTACCTTACTGCTGTGTTTGTATCTGTTTTCCAAGGCCTGCTGTATCACAATATCATTTTTTTTTAATTTTCTATACATAAATGTGAATTTCTTTATGTGTTTTTGAAAATGTAAATTTTAGTTATGTATCTTAGTTAAATTCTGATTATTGCAAATGACAAAATTCAATGTAATAAGGTACTGTACATAATGTTTTAATATTTGACGTTAACTCTCCTGCCTGAGGAAGTGACAGCCCTGGCTGTAAGGTAGAGGCTGACAAAAACCATCCAATGAATGACAAGGGAGGAGGCTGTGAGAGAGAACATGTGGTGGAGAAAGGTTACATACGTACATAGAATGCTCAGCAGGTGAGAGATTTATGCATTATAAAGGGGAATATTGAGACCACAAGGCCACCTTCTTCTGAATTTCAGTATAAAAACTCTTTTAAACACAACAACAAAGGTCTTACAGTCAAGACAGTAGTCTTCAGATTGAATAAAATTAATATGATATTCAATCTAAGGCATGAACATCAATACACTCTTTATAACCAATAAATGTTAGACTGAAATCTGAAGTTATACCTTCCTGTTGATTAGTGCCAGGCAGAGGTGAGACAGTGGTATCAGGGCCTGTAAAACACATGATGATATTTCAAAAGCAGACAATGACTTTTGGATATTTAAAAGTACATCTACAAACACAATATGCAGATGGAATACATTAATAGGGCACGTATCCTTGTGTGTGCTGTGTAAATGTTTACCCCTTGGTAGTAACAGTACAGAGCCACATTTAACCAAAGGTATCAGCCTATAGGGCTCTGTCATGATGCTGTTGTAGGGACAAGGCCTATTATTATACTTAGAATTAATGTTATTAAAGATTTCTAATAATCTTTGTGCCGCCTTTACCAAGCAGCCTGGTGTCTTTCTGTGAAAGTGCACAGGAATGTGCCAATAGGCCACTCTGATAAGAAATATTTACAATGTAGCTGTATCAAAGCTGAACAGTGTGATGATATACTGTATATCACAGATCAAATCTTTTTTTTTTTCCAAAACTGCAGGTTCAAAGTCACTGGTCATCACCTAAAGGAATATCCACCAATGAGTGGTTAGCAAGGTGGGTACCAGAACTATATCTTATAACATTCTGGTCAATCACCAAGTTGTGATATTGTATCTTAAAAGAAAGAACCCAACTAATTTTCATTGGTTACTCTACTGGCTCCTCATGTCTCCAAATGAACTGACAATCTGACTTTTCCAACTGCGTGATTGGAAGCAGTCTGAGTCAGAATATAAACTTTTTCTCCAAGCTGCCAGGCCATTATCGTGAGTCAGTTAAGGTCAGAATTCTGTCAAAGACATCATTTCTGCAACAGAAGAAATCTTGTGCTCGTGTACCGGCAGTTATTTTACCCTGATTTACCTAATAACCTTATCTTTTTACAGGTTGATATTGAATAACCCAGTATATTTAGAACCAAGCTACAGCCGGGATGAACCGAATGTTACTCATCTGTAATGTTGCGATACAGGACTACTAAGAATTAACTTGCTGAGCGAGTACATGGCCAAGTTATGGAGCCTGCAAACAGCACACAGGGAATGCCCAGAGCTGTGTGTTACTGAAAACTGAGGGAGCGGGGAACACATACTCTGGGATTGGGGAGAAGACTGTTTACAGGATGGAGAAACAGAGTCTGGTACAGGCAAACACAGTCCAGATTTGCAGACCAAGTCAAGCAAAGTTTTGTAACCGGGAAGAGACTGTAACAGATAAAGCCAATGGCAAATCAAGGAGACAACAGGTACTTTCAAAATTAAGGTTGCAATAGAAGATACAGTACTTGTATTGTAAACAATGTTTTTAACTGGGCTAAGTGATGTTTTTAACTGGGAAGAGGTGTTAGTGGGGCCAGCAGGGGGTGCTCACCCTGCGGCATATGTGAGTCCTAATGTACCAGTATAATGACGGGGACAATATACTGTAAAAAGGCGCTGTCCTTCGGATGAGATGTAAAACTGAGGTCCTGACTCTGTGGTCATTAAAAATCCCAGGGCGTTTCTTGAAAAGAATGGAGGTTTAACCCCAGCACCCTGGCCAAATTTCCCAGTGGCTCTTACCAATCATGGTTTCCTAATAATCCCCATCTGTGAATTGGCTTCATCACTCTATTCTCCCCCTCACTAATAGGTGATGTGTGGTGAGCATTCTGGCGCACTATGGCTGCCGTTGCATCATCCAGGTGGATGCTGCACATTGGTGGTGGTGGAGGGGAGTCCCCATTGCCTGCAAAGCGCTTTGGTGGAGTTTCCAGAAAAGCACTATATAAGTGTAAGGAACTATTATTATTATTATTATTATTATTATTATTATTATTATTATTATTATTATTATTATTATT